TTTGCATTTATAGAACGTCATGTATTGTGCATCAAGGGCTGAAAATTTATTTTACCTTGACTCCTTCTCAAATAACTTCAAATTGTCTTGAAGGCAAAATCATTCTGGGCAGTCCAATTGAGAACCAGGAGTGTAGGCATTAAAATAAAGAAAATGACAAAACATTTAAAACAATTCTTTTGATTTTAATGCCCTTTTCTGGTTACAAGTGACTTTATGCACTCTGATTTCTCCTACCGATGGTAAGTTTTGTTGGGGCCAAGTGAGGCCCCAAGATGCTGTGTTTTGATCTTTTATTCCTTGTTCGGGATCTGTTAGAGTTTTCTTCAAATACGAGAAATGCTAAACAATCATTCTGCTGACTTTTTCTTCAGCACATGTACAAGTTCCTTACTTCCCCCAGAACAACGGAACCCTTGTGTTCCAGTTGCCTAAGAATCTGCACTGACCACTGAGTTAGAAAGACAGTGTAGGGGGCTGGGGATTTAGCTCAGCGGCACAGTGCTTGCCTGGCAAGCACAACGTCGTGAGTTCGATTCTCGGTACAGGAGAAAAACCAAAACCAAAAAAAAAAAAAAGAAAAAAAGAAAGACAGTGTAACCTGCCTATGGTGATTATTCTTCTTACACAGCAATCTTACAACTGCACCTTTGTCCAGTGTGGTAATTATGCTTGAAGTTTTGTTTCCTTACCAGCACATACCCACTTTTCTCTGGTACACGCAGATAGGTATGGTAGATTTACTGTATCTACAGTTCAACTAATATCTTCCTGAAACAACTTCTTTATTTCTTAATTAACAGAGAACAGTTTTTGAACCTGAAACTTGAGTCCTCTTTGTCTTCAGGTTCTGTTTGATTAATGAATGGTGATTAATCAATCACTACGAGCAATCACATCTAAAATGAAAGTAAGTAGGCATATTTGGAATTTCACATAAAATTTAAGATAATGGGAAAATTAATTATGAAATGAAAAAAGGTCAAAATACAGTCAAAACCGTTCATTAAATAAAAAAAAAAAGGAATACAAGTAAAAAGTGGGCAAATGAATTATAAAAATGTATAGTAACTAATGCAAAATAATATGGTAGAAATAGATGTGATCTAAATTATTTGTTAAAAATGAAGCACTTATCTATTAAAAATTCAGCAATATTTGAATGAATAACTAAAATATTTGATGCTGTTAACTACATTTTGTTCTTGAGAAGTTGATAATTTCATTATTAAAAATGCTGTATTAATCTTTCTGAGACTTAGATATTTTATAGGGATTATATGATTATTTTACTATAAAGTGGTATATTCATATATTTTATTTTTATTTTTACACTTTGCTCAGGAATTGTAAATTCCACTGAATGTATCTGCTGAATGTTTCTGTACATAATAAATCCAAAATAGATTTGAAGTACAACTATAATTATTGACTTTTTTACTTAGAAATAACTGGCAATAGGCACTGAACCATAAAATAATTTCACATGTGATGACATTTTATGAGGATTAATTCTACATCCTCACAGAACTTTTATTTGTAATACAACCTTGAATTTCCAAATTATTAAACTGACAGAAGTGTTTTACAGTATCCAAGAATCATTTTGGATAAATATGTTTAACAGTTATGAAAAAGACATCTACTTTTTGGTAGATGAATAACCACCTCTGAATCCAAACAAGTTGTTTTCACTCACGTATGCTACCCACAGGGATTAATATGGATCTCTCTGGATGTGGAAAGGGAAATTTGGCAAATAAGTTAGTTCTAACTTTTGTTTTTAGTCAGAGAAAAATGTGCATAGCATATCTATTTGAGGTAATAATAAAATAGATCTTCTGGTAATTTCTGAATATTATTTAATCTTCTCTGATGTATAAGCTGTTTTATCATTTCATATAGCTACCACTGAATCATAGTAGCTGCTGTAATTTGAAACAGTAATACTTGAGTGCGATGTTAGTTGGCCAAATATCTTTCATATACACAGGTTAGAATAAACTTGTACTAAAAGGCTGACAGTAGCTATCTAAAACTCTATTAGAATTAGCACATTCAATCAGCTATCTCCCATGCGTTTAACAAATACCTCCTGAGTGTGAATATGAATTGTACCTGGAAAGTTTCATACCCTGAATAAGCAGATATGAGAGCTGTGAGAGGTCAAAAGGTTACTAAATTTTTGGTTCAGATCCTGGATCTAATAAAATTCTGATAAATAAAATAGTGAACTAATATGATTTTAGTTTTTAAGAAAGAAAGAAAATTAAGAGTAAAAGACAAAATAATTTCAAGTATCAACTAACCATTAGGCTATTATAATCTGCAGCATGACTCTATGGATGAGATAGAAATGTACCTCTGAGATTTCTAGCATGCATCGGATCACTGGCTAATTTCACAATATTTTATTTCACTGAATGAAAGCAAAGACATTGCTGAGCTCATAATTAATAACTTCCAGATCTGAGTTTCACCCCTCGTGCCTGCTTTCCTCACTGACACTGGCTCTTTACTGAGCATTTATGCTAGACTTGCCCAAGATGTTTTCAGAGTTCCCTTTCAATTAAAGAAGCAAAGCGCTAGAATTAAGTCACCAGTGATCTCTCAGTGATCTCGACTAACAAGTTTTAATCCTGCCAGTTTCAGTTGTTACTCTGGAAAACATATAAAGTGTTACATTTTATTCTTCTATTTTGATGACATGAACAAAATTTCATTTTTTTCTGTTTTATAGTTATAGTCATTGACAAAATAATTATGATAAAAATGTAAAAGATAAGAAATGTTTCTTAGTATGTAACTGATCTGTTTTCCCTGTTATTTATGATATGTCTTTCAAAGTTACTGATGGTTGTCTATTGGCTGAAATCTTGACTGACTTCCATTTACTTCCTGTATTATGCATAAATTCGACCAAAACTTCCCAAGCTCCTCCTCTGCACCAAGCACTTTCTAAGGCACCAGGACTTATCTGTGAGCAAAATCTACAAATTTTCTCTAGTAATGCAATTTATATTCTAATTGGAGATAATTTAAAAATGAACAAATAAGTAACTTTATATGACATATGTAAAGTCATCAGTATTACGGACTAGACTGAAGGAGAGGAAATAGAATGCACCTGTTCAGCAAAAATCCAAATGGGAAGTCAGTAAACAGTACGCTGAAAAGGTACGATTCGAAGAAAGCCAGATATCGTATTGTTTATTTAATAAATACTTAGTACATATCTTTATCTCAATTTGTTTTATTGCACACGCAATCCATCACAGTATTCTTCCCAGAGGAAAACCCCGTGTGGATTTCTCTGCCAATGAGGTAATTTATCTGTGTGCAATCTCACAGTTTTGCGTTCTACGTCATCTCCTCCCACTTCACTGTCTGTTAAAATACATGTTTGAACAACACGCAGTGTAGACTGTATCTGAGAAAAACTTGCTTTTTTTAGTCATTTCATGTCTTGACTCCTGTCAGTCATAAAGAATTTGTCCATCCTCTGTAAATCCCATTGTTTTCCCCGCCCCCTCCTCCTCTAACAATTATTCATTCAAAATTACTCTTCAGACCACACCTGCCTACCAACCAATATTGATAACAATTTATATTCATGCTATAGGATTTCTCTGAGCTTGTTATCAATTGTTGCCTTATTCATTAAAACATTACAATTCATGTCATCTTGAAAGAAAATCAATCCAATTTAGACGCAGGTGAGATTATATGTGTCTACTGTAAATTTCCCAAGCTGCTCACAGACAGATCGGAATGACTAACATATAGGTGTCAGGTGGTATAACTCTCAAACTATTCCTAGCTCTGATTTCACAGGAATTTTTCTTTTTATGGATTTTGAGAAAGAGTCGCAGTGTGTAGCCCAGGCTGGCCTTGAGCAATACTGACCCTCTTGCCTCAGCCTCTCAAGTACGGAGATTACAGGCGTGAGCCACCAAGCCTGGTTTCTATGAAATGCAAAGCAAAACAGCTTCAAAAATATTTCCCTTTTCAAATGTAATGTAATCTATTTTCAATTTTAAAAAATTCAAAAGAGGTTCAGAGGAAAATGAGAAACCTTAAAATTGATGTAGATTCTTCTGTTATTTTTGCTAAAAATGATCTATGCTAAAATCTGAATGGGCTCTATTACTAAGCTGAAAACAAAGACAGAAGCCCAGTAAGTGACAGAAAATGAGACAAGACCCTGAATTCTGTCTCCAGTGGTCAGCTAAGGGCTTCATAGGAGAATGTTGTAAGAACATACTCGTACGTTCTCCCTCCCTCTCCCCTCCTCATATTAATTAGTGCCAGTTAATCTTAAATTGCATTATAAAAAAACCATGCTGAAATACAAACAGGCACTCCTCAAATTGTAGAACTTAACACAAAATGAACATAATTGAATGTGAGTTGGCCAAAGGACATATATAGTCGAGTATTACTTGCTATTCTGTTTCCTAAACCTCATAAAGTACTTACCTATTTCCCTGAGTTTTACAAGCAAAATCTCAAGTACAAAACAAAGAGTGCTCAGTAAAGCATAGTTTTTTAGAAACACAAAGAATATTTCTTAGTAGTTTTTGTTCCAGCATGCTAAAGAACACTGTAGACATCTGAGGACCCACCGTCTCTTCTGTAACAAGATGCACATTAGTATTCAGTTTACTCAGCTCTGACACTCCCAGCAATTTCGCAAGTTATCGTTCTTTTAGTTCATTGCCTCCCTTACACTCTAGGCATATATTTCTCAGCGAGGACAGGCAAATACATAACCGTGACAATCACTAGCTGGGTGGTGACAGAACCATCTTATCATAAGAGCTCAGTCTCCATCCAGAGCTACCCAGAGTTCACCATCTCTAGTTACTCACCCGGTACTACAATCCATATCAAGAAAACCATGCACATTCCACCCAGAGTGCTCCCCTCTCGGGGCGCCGTCTACACGCATGAACACATAGCAAAGCGAGCACAGCAACAGAGAAGGGGTCCTACTGTACCTGGTGAATGAGGCGGAGGAGAGCACATCAGAACAACCCCCTGGCCTTCCCTCACAGAGACTGCGCTTCTCGTCCGGCCACTAAAATTTCCCAGATCTGTCAACATAACACAGCATTCAGATGCAAGGCAGAAAGCAACTTAAAGAATTACCATTATTTCAAATCGTATTTAATTTTCTATCAGCCTCCTAGCAAGGTTTCGTTTTATTTATTTGGCAGGGGTAGGAGCGCCTCTCCAATGCATGTGTATCACCCAGTTTTAGATATCACAAGTTCAGTGAATGCACAGCAGTCATCCAAAGATTCGATTCCTTTATATTTACAGTGCATACAAGTTGCCAAAGGGGGGAAAAACCGAGATGGTACACCATTTTTAACACTAAGTATTATTTAATTTCTTAATAATGTCTCCTACTTATTGATCTTTCTTCCAATAAAACTCACCCACTCATAGTGAGAAAAGAAAAGAAGTGGTTAGTGGGAGTGCTGTCCAAGCTGCTATCTAGTTATTTTTCATGCTAAGAATAGTGTGCAAAAACCAAGAATGAATTCACCGAATTAGAGAGACTTACATGTTCTAACAGAGTACAAGGAGGACATGACATATTCTTTTTCTAAAAATACGAATGAGAAAGCCATGTTACTTTCACTTTATGGAAGCCTAAAATGGACTCTACACGTTAATTATACCTCATCCATTTTGATGAGTCTGGGAGTATTGCAGCTATGAAAGTACTTACATGAATGAAGGATTGTAGCATTGAATTCAACTGCCTACCCTTACATTGTTACATTTGCACAATTTGAAAAGATATTCTTAAAGAGAAGCTGGCCCAGCAGGAGATGATGTATGACTTTATATATGTTTCTGTGATTGCTCATTAATCTGCTCATAATTCAGGACATATGCCCTTTCCTTTCTCTTTGGCTAGCTTCATGAAAGGCAGGATTCTTGCAGATATTGAGTCCAATATTTTTATAAACAAACAATGTCCCAGAATTCCAGGTCTGCAAATTCATGTTCCATGGTGAAAAATGCTTCTTGAAAATATTTTGCTATTCCTTTCATTATGTGCTATTTTGAGATATTTTTTGAATCGTTTAATTATTTCATGCTAAAATAATAATGTTATAGCCTCAACTTTAATGTTTATTAATCTGACAAATGATGGGATAAATTAAGAAAATAAACTGGATGGCATAAGAAGGGGACAAATTCCCATTCTTAAATATCTTAAAAGGTATACCCTACATTATTGTTTTTGAGAGACTGGAAACAATTTACTTATTTGTTAAATTTATAATCAGTTCTTAAATGTAACCACACTCACGGGAGACAAACAGTAAAGACAGGGTATGAAATACATGTCAGAAAAGTAGTCATTGAGAAATGTTTTATGACTTTATAAATAATTCTACATTTCATGGTAAATAGATAAGCTTCTTACAAATTAGCCCACAAATGAGAACATCAGTTCTAACTCTTCTAGGGGGTTGGAGTGATGTTATTTAAAAACCCTACATTCTAATTTATATAGTAAAAATCAAGCTCGTTCATTTTATAATGTACGTGTTTCAAAAAGAGCACTCCTTTGATCTCTATTGCTAAACACTATGTTAGCCTCTTTTTTGCACTTTATAAGGAAAGGGTAATAAAACATATATAATTTTGAGTCTGAATCAAACAAACATATACGATGTTCAAATTCAAATTCATCAACATTGAATTTTAGGCTTTACCTATCCCAGGAGGTGATTACAACATGAAAATAAAAGATAGTTTTCTAGTTAGACTTCCATTGACTCCACTTTTAGAAATCCAACACAGGAATCATACACTGAGGTACTGTATCCTACAGGGCTTAGATAACTCTTTAGGGGTTAAATAGTTATGTGCTTCTGTTCCTCACTGAATTTACAAATTCTGGGAAGGTAATTAAATATTGATTTTAACTAAATGTCTTAAATCACTGCTAAAATATGTTTTAAGCATATTTATTATAAGTTTATATTATTCATATTATGACATTTCAAATGAACCCATTGTATTTAAAAGAGTGTTTTAATAGAAAGCAATCCCACATCACTATCCACTTCTGAGCCATTGAAGTAAAAACACTGCTTAGAAATTGTACATGCATTGAAAAGAAAATAGTGAAATAATTATGAACTGAATTGTGTTTAGAGATCATAATGACTCAAAAGATCACAGCAGCTATAATTGCTTTAGCTTGTATCAGCTGTTAATATAATGCAAGACTTGCTCATGGAATTCTCTGTCATTATTTCCTAGTACCTGTAACATCAAGATACAAGAATAAATGGGTATATTCCAATTAAAAGTAGACCTTCTTTCTTAAATAAAGCCATACAGAGAAATAACAGATGTTTACACTTTCATCAAGAGTATAGTTTTCTCACTTAATACCTTCCTGAAAAAAGTAAAGTGGTAACAGTATTCTACGTAAGGTAAATGTGGTCTTTGTGTCAGGCAAGATTTTAACTGATCTAAGGCAGAACGATTTATGTGAGAAATAGCTCGGTTGGTATGGAGATGGAATATAGATTAAGTAAAATGGGAACACACTGTCTGTCTGTATCTCATGGACAGAAAGCAGGTCCTTTGGAAAACAATCTTTAGGGACCTTAGAAATAGCTCAGTGGACACCAGGGCCAGGAAGGATCTGAGCCTTTAAGATGAGTAATTCAGTTTTGGAACTAGCAAGGTCTTTTTGTGTGATTTTTTTCCACTCTTATCCATTTTAAAATTAATGTTATTCTGTTATTGTCAGTTTGGAGTGTTTTCACTCAATGAAATTATTTCCTTAAACATTTTTCTATTTTGCTGCATCAAATAAAGCTGTATTCAAGTATTTGTTACAAATAGCCTATGAATGGCATATTCTATAAGCTTTTAAAATATTCTGTATTTCATAAAACTTCTCTGGTAAATCAGGTGAGCTTATTATAAGTTTCTCAAAAATACACTCTAATATATTAAGATAAGAATTGAATTAAGATACGGAGATATGGTGAGCTAAATCTGTGAGAAGTAATGACAACGTGTAATGGAATTCCGTCCCGTGTTCTCCCCTGGTTGTAAATAACAGGTCAGATGGGGAAGCTCTGGCTATGGCTTTCCATTCTTGTTCACATGTTATCAGACACGAATCATTCAGCATGGATTACACAGACAAACCAAAGCAGACCAACTTATGTTTGCCTCGAAGCAAACACTTTTAACCACATCATAAGTGAGAGTAAATTATAACTGCTTTTGGAAAAAGATAAATTGTGCACAGTATGTGATAAAAATGATTTTGATCATAGGGTTATTTTTTTGCATATTGTGTTACAAAAAGCTTGTGAACATTGCATGTAAATGTGTTTATCTGACGTGAACCCTGAACTTCTTTTGTCATTTGAATCAGTTTCTCCCTTCTACATTAGCAAGTACATAAATAATCTTTACTTGCTTACCTCTAAACTCAGAATTTTTAAATACATTTTGCCAAATCCAGGTCAATCTTTAGTTACTAAAGTCTCAGAAGATTATATACCTGAGTACTGGAGAAAAATGTATAGAACACAAACAAGAGAAAAAGCACTTTCTTTGTGAACATTACAGATCTACAGAGATGAGAAAGGGTGGCATTCGGTGAGACCACCAAGCTGCTCACGTCACTTCCTCTCACTCACAGAAATTTCACTCTCAAGTTTTCAGGCCTAAGTGCCTTCTTTATCTGTTTTACGTTTTGCAATGGTTCATTAAATGATTATTTCTTTGCTGACAACCATGACTTCTTACCCCACTTTATTCCCTTGGCACAAATTCAACCTTGATTAAAATGAAATTTCTGCCTAATTTGTCCTGAGTTGTGCAAGTGAGTATGGATAAATCTGTCGACTGTTTACGTACACTTGAGGAATATTTTTTTGTTTTTGTTTTTGTTTTAGTTTTTCTCCGGTACCGGGAACCAAACTCACGACCTTGCCCTTGCCAGGCAGGCGCTTTTGCCGCTGAGCTAAATCCCCAGCCCCCCTCAAGGAATATTACTTTGGAAGTGTCTACATGTCAAGATATTTTGCAAATCTTACAGGACTAGTTTTATTTTCCAAAATCACAGCACTGTGACTTGCCCTTGTCATTCCTCCCAACTCCAAGCAGCCTGGCCTGAAGAGAAACACCGCCCGCGGGGGGCGGCAGAGAAAATGAGGTGCACGCCTTGGACCTGAAACTCAAGGCCAGGCCAGCTGTTTGTGTTCCTTTCTAGACGCCCCCGAGAGCCTCACAAGGTAATAGACAGAGCTATGGGGAGCTGAGTTGGTTCCGGGCTGTGGCTGGCTATCACCACTGGGAGGTGAGGCCTGCTCAGAGGGGACTGGTCACAGCTTGTCTCAACCCCTGGCTCTCCCTTGACCCTCTCTGCTTCTTGGACACCATGCTGCGACCACCCGCCTCTTCCAGACAGTCCTCCCTTGGGGCCTGCTGACTCTGGCCTGAAACCACTACAGACTGTAAGCCAAAGTAAACCTCTCCTCCTTTCATTTGCAGATACTGAGGATAATGGAATGGAAAGTAACCCAGACACCCGCCTCTGTAAAACTCAGGGTTGGTCAAAGCACAACAGGGGTCCTCTGGAACTCCCTGAGGCCAGGCTGAGAAGACTCAGCCTCCACCACCCCTCCCTCCAATCTTGGTCTGTCAAGCAAGGAGAAAGGAACAAGCCTCCACCTTCCGAGGGGTGCGATGTGAAAGCTAGCGCAGGGCTTTGTCTGAGCTTCTATTGTCCAGCCTGCCACCAAGGAGCCCCAGCCTGTAGTAGAATCTGAAGGCCCCACTCACTGGCTAGAAATCACAGGTGGAGTCTCCAGATGGCTCCAGCAGCAGGCGGAGATCTGCGTACTTGTACGATAGATACAAATTTCCACTCTAACCCTTCCAGCCTTGGAACGAACTGGGATAAAGTCATCCTCCTCCCGAGAACGTATAGGCCGCTGCCGCTATGATACTCAAGTGGGACACAATTTATTACCAGCCTTGATGTCCAAGGGACTGCCTGTACCACCGGCCCCGTAACCTCAGTCAGCTCGGC